GTGCATGTTACGTCATAGCTGCCATGACGTTGTTTGATGATGACAAAGCATTCCTCGTTAGCTTCTATTTTCAGCCATCAACCAACATGGCGGTTGTTTCATTGTTATTTATATCTCAGGGCAAAATTTCATTCCTTCAGCCTTTAATATCTCTCTTTCCTCCTTCCTTCCTTAATTTTTTCCATACATCCTTCCACCCATATCCATCCATCCATCCTCCCTCCCTTCAAACGCATTCTTGTAATATCATAGTTACCTGGAATTTTCTTAGCATGATAGTAGATTCTAAACCCTTTATTTAAAGAAGTCACTTCATCAGAATGAAAGTCTAAGACAACAACATTACTTCTTGTCTCCATTATTGGATAATTCCCCCTTGCACAGTATTTCGAAGAAACGGCTCCTGGGCTTCCTGTGGATACTCGTACCCAGTCCTTCATGCAGGAGGCGGAGGGTTCCATGTCGACATCCTCGAACTCTAACGTTATTACGTAACCAACTGGTACCTCGACCTTCCATCGACAGTCTGCATTGCTTGGATAGTTGGATGGATARAAAGGTGACATAATGGTTCCGTTAAGAGCTGTTAGATTACTCCTGCAGGCTAAAGAAACCAAGACAGAACAATGATACATTAATAGACCCAGGGCGCGTGGTTCAGAGAATCAGTATTCCTACCCCCCTTCCCCCCCCCCCCCCCATTCCCTGTTAGAATGACACGTGGTAAAATTGCAAACAGGTCCCATCCACCATCTTGGACAGTCCTACAATAAAAAACCCCAATGCATATGTATTATGGAGAAAGTCAAAACGGTACACGCCCTTACCTTGATAGTAACAATAGGTAATATTCATGCTGTAGATACCTGCCCCATACGGGTAGGGTGGGTTGAGTGAGTTTTGTCCATCAGTGTTGTAGTATATAAACTCAGCCCTATGTAAAGCTCCACGTACTTCTTGACACGCACTAGATAGAAAGGCCAGTAAAAAGAATGGTGATTCGAGGGGGAGTGGTATAGGGGTATTTTTGTCCCCATTTACGGCGCAGCAAAAATGAATCAGCGTATTYGAAAAAGTGGAACGTCCATCTGGAACGACGCCACTACTTTTTGTGTATGAAAAATCCATGCGGTTATTCCATATCAAAGATCCTGCTTTAAGCCCAGCAGGACACTTTCCTCCTTTTCTGTAAATGCAATAACGTCCTGCGGGCCATGCGGTTCGTGCGGGATCCAGAGGATCAGTATCCTTGATGCAAAATGATCGCTGAACTCCTTTCTTATTAACTYTTGCTTTTAGGTGAAATGAGTTTGATGTTTTGCTGTTTGGATCCAGGGCCTGTGTGATGTTTCCTGTTGCCCAGACAAAACCATCAGCCATCGGACAGCCATATATAGTGTTTGGTAGACCGTACTTTCCTTCTGGCCATCGAAGGTTATTTTCACCTTTAGTATCAATAGTACAAATACCATGTCAGTTGTTATATACACCTATTCAAGGCAGTAGGGAAGGGGGGGGGGGGGGAGGAGGAGGCCATGCATGACCCTCCTTCTTGTTAACAAAGTGGCAACTTTTTAGTATTTATACGATAATTTTCATTTGCTTTGCTAAGTTTTGAAATATAAAAACGTAAACCGCAATGTCGGCTCTTTTTGGTTCGGCGTTTCAGGGACCCAAACAAAATGGCGGAATTTGAATTTCTGTCCCCCACCCCCTGCCCTTCGAAAATCCTGCCTACGCCCCTGCTATTTCGCTCTGGGTACGAGATTGGGAAAGCTGAGAGCGAGTAGCACGCTGCAGATAGTGTAATATATTCACAATATATATATATTTGAGTAAGAAATGTGATCCTTCATTTTTTTCGCTGGAAACGAAACAGCACAAGTTTAGTCTCAGATCGCTCATTTTAGCATTGATCTCGGATAGAAAACGTTTTAGATCTATGTGAGGTTAAGCATTCAGGAGCTGATCTAAGGGAGAAGTGCAGAGGATATCTCCCCCCCCCCCCCCCCCCC